CTAACCACCTGGCCATGACAACTGCTGTAATCTCTCTTGTTTATTTTGCTGTTCCAGCTGCCACTGTTGCAGGTTTTCTTGCAACTGCTGTTGTCTCTCTTCTTATTTCTTTTGTTGTTCTTGTATTGCTGCCATCAAATCTGCAAAGCTGTAGTTTGATTTGCCACTTCTCGTTTCCATTTTTATTTCTTTTCCATTCCCACTTCTGACACCAATTTGTTACGTCTCTGGTCGTTAGTTTGTTAATTTTCCGTAAAAATTCTTTCCGAGGAAACTTTAGCGACACAAGTCCTTTGTTAAATAAAACTAGTTTATTCTTTCTGAATACAACTTTGCAATACATTTAATTTCCACAGTTACGCTATAATTCACAAAGAACGACTCACGCGCTCGACCCAACTGTCCGTATCTCTCTCTGTCTGCAATTCAATTACCTTGTTGCCGTCACTTCTTACCGATCTTATATATACAAAAACGTACATCTCGTTTCTTCGTGAATCTTCTAGAATATCATGACGTGTTACCAGCGTCACGTGACTACCGCTGTCGTAACAATATTTTTACGTAGCTATCCTCACATTACAGGTACAGAAGCAACTACATTGTATAACTAAATATAGTTTAAATTATCTATTAAATTGAATAAAAAATAAGTTGATAGATGAGATAGATTGTGGTCTAATGGTATGCACACATAGGTGTAGATTGAAGGTCCTACATTTGCACACAACCTTTAATTGAACACTCTCCACACTTTAGATGATGGGCATTATTTGATTCAGAGCCTTTCTGGCAGTGAGTGCTGGTGGCTGACTGCCTTTCCTTTGGTCAGCAGTTCAAAATTATGGATAGCAATACTGAATCCATGGGGTCTCTGACCTGGCTGTTTAGCCCATGTTTAGGTTTAAAATTCCGATTCATCATTTTATCTTAACACCTGCCACATAAACTAGGCCAGCATCTTTTAATTTTGAATCTTAGGATGGTTAACAGGGGGTAGTTCCAGAAACCGATGATTTAGGGTTATTTCGATAGATTTCAATGAAATAAGCTCGGCATAACTTTTAAAACGAAAAACAAAAATAATGAAAATATGACATATGATACCACACTGAGCATTATACCACTCTTCTTCTATTTACTCTTCATTGTAAAAATGGCAGTTTCAATTTGAGAATCACTAGGGAAATCATATTGTAATGCATTATGCATCTGCTTCAAATTCAACAGTGTATCTATGCCATTTTAGTTTCACAAATATTGAAGCTAATAATTTCTTATATATGATTCCAATCTTCCTTTTTGAAGATAACGACACTATTGTGCCCGTTTTTATATGTTGCACTGTCAATACAGTAATTAATTGACGAATCTCCGATTCAGCCGGATTGTCAAATCGATTGGTATATATTCGAGTAAGTTCTTTCTTCATCCGATCTGGACTTACGGTTTAGCTTAATCACTACATTTAAACTACCACATTCCCAACCACATCTAGAACATTTCAAGAATGTTTCATTGCTACATCGTTTTACTTTACATTTACAAGTTAACTTCTCCATGTTGGCTCTCGTGGTCTTGGATCTGTTCAGTGGCTTAGACGTTGAAAATAGTGCCAAACGTCTTCTTCTTCTCTAATCAAAACAACCCAAACCTTTCTGGAATGGCCCATTTTTTTTATCCATATCAAGATACCGGGCTGGTTGGTGTGGCAGGTGTTAAATATCCCCTCTTTTAAAAATGATATTTTTACACTGTAGTTCGGACTGTACTACATGTTCCCCTCCGTTTATCTTAAAGTTAAGTTTACTAAATTTCTTTTATTTTCACTAAGATAAAACATAGTATTTCTCAAGAAAGTTTTCAGCTTTAACTTTCCCCAAAAGCTAATTGAATCGAGTTGAGGTTAGACGCCCTTTTGTCTGATTCTTTTACAGGAATAACAATGTGCTTTTTATTTAGTATGACGAGTTATTCTTGTTGACGAATCAGACAGTAGTTGCAGGTGGACTCGCCCATTATTTGGCTTACTGATCTATCAGGCATCAATCACTGTTTTCTTGTGTCAAAAGCTCGAGGATTTACTGTCATATTTAAAAGTGTTGAAGACTGAGAGAGCAGAATTTTCATAGAATTTTACACAGATTTCTGCATATTTTTAGCAGATTATCACTAAATTTTCACCCAATGTTTCTTTGATCTTTATTTCTACGTGGGAATTCTTAAAGTTCGCACTTTCAATTGCCAGTAACAGGTTTGCGTATTTTTGCTTGTCAAGAACTCTTATATTTCACTTGTAATTCTAAAACTAATTTTCCCTTTCGTTTGTCCAACTTTTGCTGTAATTTGGTTAAGCATTTGTTTAATTTCACAAGTAAGATAATAGTGTATAACTTGTCCCAAAGGATAGTAGAGCACGGCTTCTTGTTTCTACTATGGACCATTATTGTTAGTAAAATAACTTATGTATTACATTTTAACTTGGGGGTACCCTCTGTGATTCTTTTATATTTACATTCTAGCCTAAGTTACGGGGGGGGGGGCACACACTAGTAAGAGCTTATTATTTAATAAAGCTTCCCCACGCTTTACTAGTCACACACCTTTTTGTCTTTAATACACACATGATCACTTGCCTTACATTGTGTAACAGTGCTTTGTTGCTTTTGTGTAAACTGTCAAGATTTTACTTTAAGATTGTTTTCTTGTGTAAATATACATGTCCTGTCTCACTTTCTATGGCACATTCATCACACCCATGAAAAAAAAAAACAACAACAAAAAACACGCAGACGACAGCTCTGAACCTCCTAATTTTGCAGGCTCTGACTTCTCTGATTTGCCAGAAATACCAAAGTATCCACTAATATGAATGAATATAACATGATTCTTGATACATGTCTAGTGTATATTTTGTCATGTGTTGGATAAAATTTAATTACATATAAAGATTTCTTCAGAATAGATATTTTTAAATATTTTCTAACAAACATGCTGTGGTACCTGAAGGTACTACGTTTTCCCTTCTCCTTTATCTTGGGAAGGGAAATTATTAATTTTGAAGCTATATCGGA